AAAATGATCAAACAAAAAGGACAATGAAAACACAACTTCTCTTTTTGGTGAATAGTGTTTAGGAGCATAGTTACTTATCTTGTATATATTTACATAAATATATATGTATACAGATACATATATACATATATCTTTTCCCTCCTTTATTCTCTCCTTTCCCCTATCATTTTTCTTTCCTTTTGAGCACTTCTTTTCCTTTCCATTTTCACATTATCTATTGTACCTTTTGAATCATATTTATTTTTTAAACTAGGGAGACAATATGATATTTACACATGTGAGTCTAACATATTTCACTTATAAGTATGGTCTTGGTTACATCCATTTACCTATAAAATCCTCAAGTTTTATCTTTTATATGTGAGTTAATACCCAGTATATAAAAATGCCACGTCTTTTTTCATATGTTCCACAGTTGATGGGCTTTTGGGTTGTTTCCAATGTCTGGCTATTAAAAATTGTACAACTATAAACATGGGTGCAAATATGTCACTGTGATATGAATGTTTTCAGTTCTTCCCGGAAAATACCTAGGAGAATTGCTGATCAAATGGGACCGCCAATGATAGTTGTTTGAGGAATCTTCACACTGATTCTTACAGTGGTTGTACCAGTCTATACTCCTACCAGCAGTGAAGAATGGTTCTATTTCCCCTCACAGCCCTTCTAGAATCTGATATTGTTTAATTTCTTGGTGTTAATTATTCTTTCTGGAGTGAAATGGTATATCAGTATTGTTTTAATTTGCATTTCTTGAATGACCAATAATACTGAACATTTTTCATGTATTTATTTGCCATTTGTATTTCTTCATTTGAGATGTCCATGTTTGGATTGGATCTTTAAATTTGGGGGGGGTCCGATCTTTTTCAATTCTTTGTGTGTTCTGAATATAAGCCCTTTGTTTCGGGGACAGTTGGATATATTTTTCCCATTCTGTGGGATTTTTTTTTTTCATCCTGTTATTTTTTTTTTTAATGTGCAGAGCTTTTTAATGAAATGAGATCCCAGTTATTCTTTGAAGTATTTACTGTGCCATTTGCATTTTATTCATGAACTCTTGCCTACCCTTATTTCCTCAAGATTTCTACTTACCTTCTGTTCTAGTAGGTTTCTGTCTTAGTATTTAGCTCTTTGATTAATCTTGACTTTAGTTTAGTGCATGGTGATAAACATGGGTCTAGTTTCAATTTTTGGCATGTGGAAAGCCAATTTTTCCACTACCATTTATTAAAGAGGCTGTTGCTCTTCCAGTGAAGATGTTTAGCACATTTTAAAAGATAACATAATGGTGTATCTTTGTAATTTGTGTCTGTATCTTCTAATCTGTTTCACTGATCCTCAGGTTTGTTTTTTGGCCAGAACCATGCAGATTTTAATACAGTAGTTTTGTAATATAATTTCAAGACAGGAGTTGTGATACCTCTTGCCTTGCTTTCATTGCCCAGAATGCTTTGCAATTGTAGGTCTCTTTTGTTTTCAAATGAATTTTAGGAATGTTTTCTCTATATCTGTGAGGTGTGCTAATGGTATTTTGATTGGGATTATATGAAATCTGTGTAACAGTTTTGGGAGTATGACCATTTTCAAAATGTTGGTTCATCCCGTCTATAAGCAAGGGGTATCTTTCCATTTTCTGATATCCTCTTCAGTCTCCTTTTTCAGAGTACTATCAATTTCAATATATAAGTCTTTTACATCCTTTGTTAGGTTTATTCCTAATATTTCATTTTTTGATGCTATACGCAAAGGTGTTATTTCCATAATTTTTCTCTCAGCAAGTTTGTTGTTTGCATAAAAGAATGTTACTGATTTTTGAGCATTGACTTTGAATCCAGTGATGCTGCTGAATTTTCATATTAACTTTGGTAGTCTTTTGGTGCAGTTCTTAGAGTCTTCTATGTAGATTATTGTGTCATCTGGAAATAATAATTTAACTTCTTCATTTTCTATATTTACTCCTTTTATTTCTCTCTCTTGCCTCATTGTTTGGCTCATGTTTCCAGAACTATAATGAATAGGAGTGGTGATAGTGAACATCCTTGTCTTGTTCCTGACTTAGAATGAAAGCTTTCAGTATTTGACCATTTAGTAAGATGTTAGCTGTTGGTTTGTCATAGATGGCTTTTATCAGATTGAGGTAGAGGCCATCTATTCTCATTTTCTCTAAGGTTTTTACAATGAACAAGTGTTGGACTCTATCAAAAGATTTTCCTGCATCTATTGTGATGATCTTGTGATTTTTGTCTTAGGCTCTGTTGATGTGGTGTGTTACATTTATTGATTTGTGTATATTGAACCATTCTTGCATTCCTGGGATGAATTCCACTTGGTCATGATGTATAATCTTCTCAATTATTTGCTGCAATATTTGCCAGTGCTTTATTGCTAACTTTTGCAATTATGTTCATTAGCAAGATTGACCTGTAGTTCTCTTTTTTGCTGAGACTTTCTCCAGTTTAGGTATTGGACTAATACTTGCTTCCAGGAATGAGTTAGGGAGCATTCAGTTTCATTGAAGAGTTTGTGTATAATTCATCAGGACCTGGGCTTTTCTTTACTAGTAAGTTTTAATTACAGTTTTAATTTTAGGAACTGACATTGGATTATTCAAAATTTTTGTATCTTCTTGATTCAGCTTTGGTAATTCATGTGTTTTTAGGAATCTCTCCATTTCTTCTTGGTTTCCAGCCTACACTACTGAAGATTTTTGAAGTAGGTATTGATGCTCTTCTGAATTTGCAGAGGATCTGTAGTAATTTTACCCTTTTTATTCCTCATTGCATGAATTTGAGTTTTTCCTTTCCTTTTCTTGATCAGGTTGGTTTAGGGTTTAGCAATTTTTTTTATTCTTTCAAAGAACCAACTCTTTGATTCATTAACTTTTGTACTGTTTCCTTTGTTTCAATTATATTAATTTCTGCTCTGATTTTATAATATCCTCCCTTCAATGAGTTTTGGGCTTGACTTGTGCTTCTTTTTCTAGAAGCTTGTGATGCAGCATTCGTTTACAAGTACTCATTCCATGTACCTGGTATGACAATTTTTTGCTATACATTTCTCCCTTTGGATTGCTTTCTCTGCATCTCACAGGTTCCAGTATGTTGTATTTGTATTTTCATTTAATTGTAGATAATGCTTAGTTTCTTCTTTAATTTCATCTATGACCCATTTGTTTTTCAGTAATGTTATTTAATTTCCATATATTTATGTAGTTTTTGCAGTTCTGTTGCCATTAATTTCTAATTTCATTGTAGTATGGTCAGATAATATGCATGGGATAATTACAATTCCCTTGAATTTTCTTAAGCATGTGCTTTGAGCTAATATATGGTCTGTTTTGGAGAACTGACCATATGCAGCTGAGAAAAATTTGTATTCCGATGATACAGGATGGAACACTCTGTAAACATCTTGTAAGTCCACTTGTTCACTTGTTTGATTTGGTTCTATTATTTATTTGCTGACTTTTTTCTGGTTAATCAATCTCTTTGTCACAGTGGGGTAGTAAGATCTCCTATTACTATTGTGTTGTTACATATTTGATTTTTTATGTCTGTGAGTAGTTGCATAATATAGTGGTCCCATATTTGTTGCATATTTATTTATGATTGTCATCTTTTTCTGTTGAATTTTCCCTCTAAGAAGTATGTAGTGACTTTGTTTATCTCTCTTGAACATTTTTATTTGAAATTCATGTTGTCTGCAAACAGAATAGGTTCTTCTGCTTTTTTCTGGATTGCTGTCACATGGAATATTATTTTTCATCCCTTGACTTTCAGTCTGTGAATTTATTTTTGAGTTAAATGTGTTTCTTGTATACAGCATATTGTTGGATCTTGCTTTTTGATCCATTCTTTCAATCTATGTCTTTTAATTGGGAAGTTGAGGTAATCTCCATTGATGGTTATTACTGATATGTATTGATTTACCTTTGTCATGTTGTTTTCCTGTTGTTACTCCCCTGTTTTTCCCTGCTTTTGTTTAACTGCTTGCCCTCTTTAGTGGTTTCTTTCTCGTGGCCCTATGAGGATTGTGGTCATTTTTATCTCTGTCTAGACTTGTCTTTCAATGCTTTGTCCAGGGTTGATTTGATGGACATGAATTTCTTGATTTGTTGTTTGTCATAGAAGTATCTTATTTCTCCTTTAATTTTGAGAGATAGTTTTGCAGTATACATTATTGTGGATTGAATGTGCTGTTTATCCACATGTTATAAAATTTCTGTGGTTATTTTGGAAATTGATTTCTAGTTTCAATTTGCTATGTTCTAATAATATACATGGATAATTTTTATTCTATTGTGTTTATTTAAGCAGGCTTTAAGGACTAGTATGTCATCTATTTTGAAGAAAGTTTCATATGCTGCTGAGAAAAGTAAATATTCTGTTATAGTAGCATAGAACTCTCTGTAGGTATCTATTAAGTACATTCTAAAGTGTGATTCGGCTGTTGTATTTCTTTTTCTTTTTCTTTTGTCTTTTTGAGACAGGGTCTCTCTATGCAGTTCAGGCTGGTCTTGAGCTTACTTTGTAGCCCAGGCTGGTCTCGAACTTGCAATGATCCTCCTGCCTCAGCCTCCCAAGTGCTGGGATTACAGGCATGAGCCAACACGCCAAGCAGCTGTTGTATTTCTTCGTTAAGTGTTTTTGTTAATTTGTTTGTGAAAGTGGAATGTTGAGGTCCCCCATTATTATTCAGCTGCACATGGGCAGTTCTCTGGTATTTGTTTACAGTTGTTATTACTTCTTACTGAATTTTTCCTTGACTAATATGTAGTGACCTTCTTTGCATCTTCTGATGATTTTTAGCTTGAAATTCACTTTGCATAAGAATAAAATTAATACCTTTGTTTCTTTTTGGAAGCCTCATGTATGGAATCTTGCTTTTCATCCTTTTACTTTGACTTTTAGTCAGTGGAATTCTTTCCTTCTTTCTTCTTCTTTTTTTTTTTTTTTTTTTTTTTAGTAAGATGAGGTTTTTTTTTTTTTTAATGCAAAAGACTGTTGAGTTTTCTGTTTTCACCCATTCTGACAGTCTGTGTCTTTCAATTTGGAAATTGAGGCCTTTTAAACTGAAAGTAATTACTGAGAGACATTGACTTACTACTTTCATTGCATTCTTTTTGAACTTTTGACTCTTTTGTATTTTTTTCTGTTTGCCACTTGATTTGCTTGATGTATTTATTCAATTTGACTTTTTTGCTCTGTTGGCTTTATTGTCATTGCCTAGGCTACTCTTCAGTGTTTTGAGGGGAGAGACTAGTTATGCTCTTCAGATATCTCTTAATATGTTCTTTGTCCTGAAATGTCCTTTCTCCATCAATTTTGAAAGCAAATTTTACATGATGTATTAGTGTGGATTGGAAGTTTTTGTCTTTTAATGCTTGAAGCACTTCACTACAAAGTCTTCTGACCTTTAATTTTTTTTATTTAAAGGAAAAAAAAAACAGATAAAAAGGGTAGAAACAATACAGAATTTCAGAAAAATAAACAGTAAGAAATCACCAATCGATAAGTTACATACCATCATCTTAGAAATAGTTGCTCGAGTTATAAAATTAAAGCATACAAAGTGATATTCAAACAATGACACTGCAAACAGTTCTGCTCAACAATACAAAAAGAACTTAGTAATATGGTTATCGGTCCTATGCACTTGATTTTTATCTTAAAGAGGGTAAGAGTAAACATAACAAAATAATGTCAATAATGTCTACCATAATGTTTCTCAGTCTCTTTGTAGTAGCTGTCTTTATCTTTATGTAAGCTGAAATTGAACATGAGACTAGACTATTATTCTGAACAGTGAATGATAGTATTGCTATATTTCATATCGTGATGCTACAGAATTAGCACTGGGTTTCTTAGTGTCCCTTCTTCAGAGCATCTATCTGTTCATTACATTGTGTATTATATAATCTGTTCCTATAAATAGTTTAGAAATTTTTCCCATGTGTGAATCTCTACATATATATCTATCCTTTATATATTATAGGGAAAAACAGATCAAAACAAGACAACAAAATAAATTCCTAGAAAAACATGAAATGAAAAAGACATATAAGACCACAATATTAGGTGATCTACAGTAGTTACTATGTTTTCTCTTGTTATTTTCAATAGAATTGTCCACATTATCAGGTATAATATAATTGAACATAACATTACATAGCTATTTTAATAAAAACACAACTTTGAAAATATTGTAGGACTTGAAAGCAGTTAATAATCAAAACCAGAATGGTATCTTTTACATCTTGTCATCTTCAGAGTAGTTGCATCTACTCTTAGACTTGATACTATCAAGCATACCAAATTTGAATGAAATCAGTTGAGGCTAAACAGCGGTCTAACAAACCAGCTTCAAATAAAATCAGTCATTGACAATGTAAGTAATACAAGAATTCAGTGTGAGTTAATAGGAAATTAAGGATAGTTACCGTGGTATAACCTGCTATTTTTGGGTTAGCTTTGTGTGCCCTCAAATCTAATATGAGTAGACAGACTGGAACAAAATCAAACTAAACAATGATAAGACTACTGTGGCTTTTAAATCCTGATACACTATTAACAATGTCCTCTACCTTCCTTTTTTAGACAATTCCTCCCTTTTGCCTTTCGCAAGGTGCTTTGTATATTTTGGGTCCCACTAGCTCTTTTCGTTTTTAGATTAGGGGGCCAACCTGTTATCTATCTGTGTGTTGATAAACCTTTTTACCCCTGAGCTTGATCTTGAGCTGTATTCCTTTACTTACTAAAGTTACAAGGTCGTCCTTCCTTCCAGCTATGTAGTTCTACACTGCCCAAAAGTGTCATAGCTTTCCAATCTATCTACAGCTGCTGGATGAGTTTGTCCCTATTTCTCTCTGTTTTCCTGTTTCGTATAGCATTGCTTTCTCATCTTTGACTTTCAGTTTAATAACCCTCTTTTGGGTTGAGTGTATTTCTTATTCAGATGGAACCTGCCTCCTAATCTACTCTGCCTGTTTTTTTTTTTTTATTTTAGTGTATCAAGGCTATCTATATTAATGATTATGGCTTACCGTCTCTGCCTCATTTCTGCTATTTTATTCTTCTGCCATTATTTGTTCACTTTCTGCTTCATTCCACTGTCTGCCCTGTTCATTGAGGCCTCTCTGTCACTGTTGCTGGAATCCTATATTTTTTCCTCTTTCTCTCTGGAATGTCCTTTAGTATTTTTTGTAGGGTTGGGTTGGTGGCCATGAACTCACACAGTTCCTCCTTGTTTTGGAAATATATTGTTTCTCCATTAATTTTGAGAGAGAGTTTTTCTGGGTACATCAGTCTTGGTTGGAGGTTATTTTCTTTCAGGGCTTGGACTATTTCCCCCAGGCTCTTCTAGATTTGAGAGTTTGTGTTGATAAGTCTGTCGTTACTTTGATAATTTTTCTTTTGTAGATAATCTGCTTCTTTTCTCTGGCTGCTTTTAATATTCTGTTCTTGTGGTGGATTTCTGGAATCTTGATTATTATATGTCTGGGTGTAGATCTGTTTTGGTTGTAGGTGGCTAGAGTTCTATATGCCTTTTTTATCTGGATATCATTTCTTTTTCCTACGCTTGGGAAGTTTTCCTTTATTATATCTGTGAATATTCTTTGTAGTTCATTTTTGGTTACTCTTGCTTCTTCGCTCACATGCTTTATTCTTAAGTTATATATCCTTAAGTTATTTATCCTTTTGTCGTTTTCTTGCCTTTGAATTGTTTCTTTCTGGTTCCTCGTTATTTTTAAGAGATCTTTCCTTTCACGATCGTATATCATAAATCTCTCTTCAATTTTCAAAAGGCTAACTTTAGTTTCTGTCAGGCATTTTGCCATTTTCAATGAAGTTTTTAGATTCCTGGTAATCTCTCTGGATCTGTTTCATGTATTCTAGGTTATGTTTAAGTTCTTCATCAAAGGTTTCTCTTTCTTTTCTGAGTTTCTCTGTTCTTTTGTCTGTGTTCTCTTGGGGGGGCTTATCATTTCTTTAATTAATCTTTTTATATCTTGCCTCACTTGGATCAGGAGTACAGTTTTAAATTCATCTGTGAAGTCAAAAGTTATTTCTTTATGTCCACTGATGCTGTGTCTAGTATTGGATGGTTACTGCACTGGTTCTCTTCTGTATTTACTTCTCTGGGGCTTATTTTCCCAGGTTCAGAAGCTTGAGGTTTTTTTTTTTTTTTTTAATTTCTATGTTTTGTCATATTTCTGGTTTCTTTCAGACAGATGTGTCCGGGGGGTCTCTGGCCCTCTCCGTATTGCTTAGGGTCTTTCCCAAGTATGTTGACTGGGGTTTTGCTGCCCTTCCCAATTTGCTGTTTTCTGAGGTTTCTAAACTCCCTCCCAGAGGCTTGAGATGGTGTGGGGACACTCCCCCAGGCCACCCAGTCCAGAGTTCAGAGCGCAGGCAGGCAGGCCCAATTCCCCGAAGCTGGTCGATCACAGCAGGAAACAGGAAAGTTCTGGCTCCGTATTTTTGATTATTGTCTGAAAAGGTGTTTTCAGAAGCAGATTCTCTGGGCTCCGTTTGCAGCAGCAGCTCCTTGGGGCTCTGGTCTCGTGGCCTGGCAGCAATGAAGACACACTCACCCACCCGGGGACTTCGAGGGTGCTAGGTTGGCAGGGGCCCACTCAGCACCAGTGCTGCGGGCTCAGGTCCTTGCGTGAGTGGTGAGTGCGAAGGCGGTGATGTGTCCCAGCAGGTCCGGTCCATGCCCATGATGCCACAATGCGCCCTCCTTCTAGCGTCCCCAGGGACACAGCCCAGAGCCAGGGAGGTGGCAGAGACAGTGGAGGTGGTGCGGTAGTGGCAGGGGCAGGGGTTGCCGGTAGGCGCTGAGTCGCCCCACTACCCCAGCCTCTGGCAGGCTCCTTGCAGCAGAGACGGAGGCAGTACCTAGAGCGCAGTGGCCCAGAGGTGCTCAGGGCTACATAGTGGTGCCTCCAACCAGGAGTGAATGTTTGATTAGTTTTTCTCACCTTAGTTTCTTCTTGTTATGAGAGAATTCCTCTCCCTCTGTTTAGGGCTCCCATGTTGTATTATGTTGAGTTCTAATTTGACTTTCAGGGAGCCTCTGTAGCCGGCTGTTAATCTGCCACCTGACCTTTACAATTTGCATCAAGAAAAGTCTGCTATAATGTTAATGTATTTACATTTAAAATTGATTTTTTTGGTATTTTTTTTCTGACAGCCTTTACTATTTGGTCTTTTTGTTTGATAGCTTGGATTTTGACTGTGATATTTTGTGGGGAGTTTCTTCATTGTCATTATTTGGCACACTGTAAACCTCACTTACCTGCGTGTTGAGTTCTTTCTATACTTGGAAAGTTTTCTGCTATGATTTCTGTAAAAAAGATTTTTAATTCTTTGTGTTCAGTCTTCTAATTCCTGTCTCAACTTCATCTAGCCTGAAGTTAGTCTTCTTAGTGTTATTTAGTAGCTGTTGGATGAATTTTTCTCACTATTTTTAAGGCTTCACCTAGTTGTTATATCATTACCCCAGACAGTTTCCTCTGTGCTGCCATCACTGAGTTCCAGGAGCCAAGCAGTTTCCTCCCACTGTGGCCCAGGCAGTTGCCCATCCAAAGAATTGAGCACTGTTGGCTCCCTCAAAACGCATCTTGTTTGTAACTTGTGTCTGGACGTGACCCGCATAGATCTCCATGGGTCTAGTTTTCTTAATTGATTTGAGAGTGGGGGAATTAAATATTGTGATGTCTCTGTGTCTTCTCTCCTCAGGCTTTCCTTGCCTATTATATGGCAGAAGGCATCTGGCCCAGCCATTGTTCACCATTTCTCTGCCTGCAGATGTCTGTCTCAGCCTTGCCCACAGTATCCAGCGATATTCCCAAGCTGGGAAGAGAGCCCTCTTTGCCATTTTTGGGAGGTGAGGAGACCTCTCACTGTCTCAGGTCTGAACAGTTTTTGGAGAAACAATAGGATGGCACTCACTGTTTTATTTCTCCAGATAGCTTTCTGACTCGGCACTCCATTTTTGTGCATTTATTACAAAACCATTTTCCTTGTCTTCTGCAGATGGGAGTTGTCCCGCAGGACCCCCAGTTCTGCTACTTGAATCTGTTCATAGAGCACTGAATGTTCCATGTACAGCCCTCCTGCTGTACGTGTGAGGACTGGGCAACTCACTTTTTTTCTCCTATGTGGAGCAACCATTCTTTGTCCTCAGAGTCCTGCTGCCTGCCAGTGTTCTATTTTTACTATAATGTTTAAATCGATGATAGTGTCTAGGAAAGATAGATAAATATTGTTGGTACTGTGTACCATTTTTCATCACAGTTTCTTATATGTACTATTTGTTATTCCTGTTACACAGAATGAGACAGTGACTACTCTATCAAAGCACTCTGTGCTCATAGATCTAAACAAAGAGGTAAATATTTTATTTTTCTTCACAACAATCTCATAAAACAGATACTATTTCTGTTTTACTAGAAAGAATTTAAGTCTAAATGAAATTAAATACCTTCCACAAGGCCACACATCTAGTTACAGTAAATTCATCTGAATCAGTGATGTAATTGACAAAGTGATTGCTATAATGGGCAATGAAAGGAGACTGTTGTTACTTTTATCCTATAAACAGAGAAGCAAAGGCAAGTATTTCTGCTTTTGACTGCTAGGAGTGAACTTATTACATGCGCCAGTGCCTCATTGTGGCAGGTCTTTTTAAAGGCCTAGTTACTGCTTTGGGTACTCCTTTAGACATTCAGGTCCTGGAGAACTAAGAACTGGACTATGCCTTGCCATGACCAGTTGAAAGAGTAGGAGTATTGACAGCTGCCAAGAGTCTTTTGACTCTGAATTCTATTTGGAACATCTTTTATGGACAAATGTGCTTGGCTCAACTATTTTTGACTGTGAGAACCCATGAAATTTGATGCCTTGTAGTGAGTATCTCTTCAATTTCACCACTGGTCCTGTCTTAATCTGTAGTCTTAACCAGTGTGGTATTTTAAGTATAAAAATACTTGTTATTCAGGGTACCTGTTTAAGTTGCAGAAAAGCCCCACAATGATTCCTTTGTACAGTGTTTAACTCTGGAATAACACTAAGACACAACTCAGAGGAAAAAAGTAAATTCACATATAATATTATTTCTTATCATAAATGGAGAACTCCAAACAATGTTTAACAGATTAGAATTTCTCTGAATTTATTTCAATTGCAAGAATATTGACACCTGGTTGAATTGCAGAGATTAAAAAACCCCAACTCTCCCAAGTTCTGCTATAAAGAAGTCTGGTTATTGCCTTAGTTTCAAAACAATACTTCCCTAAGTATTTCAAAATGTCCAGCTGGTTGCCCTCATCATTCTTTTTGGAAGCTTCTTTGTCATCCTCGTGGCACATCCCTCTGGCATGTGTGACCAGCTGCAAAGCTAAACCCTATGCAATAAGAATTCTTTCATCCCTTTGTATGATGTGTTTCATTATCAGAGTTTGGATGATCCTCTTCAGTAGCAACAGTAGCAGCGGGCATTGTTAGTTTCAATAGGTAGCCTGATGCACAAGAATATTATCATAGCGAGACAAGCTCCCACGTCCTTCCTTGGTGTCATAGTGCTGTGTTAGATCCTTTACCCTGCTGGATTATTAGTTAGAGAAAAGGGAAAATAAACTGTATCCAAAGAAATCCAATTAAAATATTTGAACTTCACTGATACCCATCTTACTGTTTTCTTAACTTTATATCCTATGGTTAATTATTCTGACAGTAGAAAAAAGTAAGATAACCTGAAAATTATATTAAATCCCTTAATTTCTTTATTTTATAAAGATATAAAAATGTTATTGTGTAACATGGGATAACTATGTTTGGTATGTTATGGTTAAAAAAAAGTTTTTGCTATTCTTTGTGTCTTTTGTAATATCTTTATCTAAATCACTGCCAGGACTTACTGTATGAAGCTACTTGGCATTCTGAATTTTGTCTTTCTTTACAGTGTACATTTCGGCATTCGTTTATTCTTATGACTTTCATTTTTTTCAGTCCCCAGTTGATCTCACCCTTATGCGTATAATATACTTTTTCTACTTAAGAAAAATCAATGGTGTCATGACATTAGATTTTTTTTTCCTCTTTGTAGATGAAACTCGGAGCCTTGCACATAATAAGCATATGCCCTAGAAGTGAACTATACCCCGTTCCAAAAGTAGGCTCTTACATTTTAGCCTTATAGTTTTTTAAATGACCTTGCCATGACTGAAACACTCTCTGTCCAAAATATAAACCAGCATTTGCAGTAACAATAATTTATATGTATATATGTATATGTGTGTATATGTGTATAAGTGTACACTGTATATTCATGGTTTTAGTAGATGTCTTCTCAGACTTCACTGGGTTTGAGGTAGAATCTTGTAATTTTAATTTTTATGCAGTGAAGGAATCTCTAAAAATAAGAAATGTGTTATTCTTCTGTAGAAAATGTTCGTATCATAAACCTGTATAATGTTTGTTTGTATTTATCAGTTATAAATCTATTCTGTTACAAACCTAGTCTACATATTAAATATTATTTGTAATTGGACAATGGTAAGAATATAGTAGAAGACCTCTTAACCAATTCAGGTTAGCAGGGTGCTCTTTGGAAAAATGGCACATTTTCTTTTTGCCTGTTTTCCTGCCAACAGAGTGATTGTTTGTTTTTGGATTTGTTTATGTCAGTTTTAAATGTACATTTGTAATTTAATTGTAAAAATTGGTAAAGATCTGAAAGAGTAAAAATTAGAGTAAATTTGGTATGCTGAAGCAGTCTGAAGAGAGAGTTTAATGATTATTGTGACATACCAAGATATATCCCCAAAACCTCATGCTGTGGAGTTTTTTGGAGGAGGTTGAATCTAGGTGATGGCTGGGATTGATTCGTAGCATAATGCTAGGATTAAAGGTGCCCATCCTAAGTGTGAGTGCTATCTTCTCTAATGGTAGGTAGCCTGGGTAATGTATAAGTCATAGAAAGAGGGTCATAGTTCGTTGCATGCTGCTTCACTACTTTACTGCTTGCTGCCTTCTGCCTTCCATGAACAGGCTTTTCCTTTGTGATATCCATCTGCCCTGCTGCCTTGCCTCGGCGCCAGCCAACTGTGAAATGAAACCTCCACAAACTGTAACCTAAAATAAATCTTTCCTCCTTTAATTTGGGGTATGAGATATTCTCAGCAAAAAGAAAATTAACTAAAACAATGGGAGATTTTTGATTAGGACATTAGTAGAGAAAACAGGAGTTTCTTGAACTCATTATTTCCCAGATTTGTTATCTATAGCATAAGCTGCATAATTCAGAATCCTGTGGTTTTAATGACTCCATGAATAAAATACTTATATCTGTAAGATTAGCATCTTCAGAAATTTTAACAGCAAAATTCCAGTTTAACTTGGTGATTGAACATGTTTTTCCCTTGCTCTTTCCTGGTAAGGGACTAAAAGTTTTAAGTAGAAGACTGAAAAAACATGAATCCACAAGCATGAAGGAAGAGGAAGTGACATATAAAATACATAAATTTTTAGAGGATGTAAAGGAGAAATTAGCATGAGTGGGAAAGTTTAATACAAATGACTGGAAAGTGTTAGGGCAATGAAAAGCAAACCAGTTTATGTTCTAGTATTTAGGAATCACAATCAGAAAAAATATGTCCTGTGGATAACAAAAACTGAAGTAAATATAAATTACTAATATACTCAGAGAGTTAGTAGAATATGATGCTTACATGGAGCATGATAAAATCATATAAAACTGGAAAACATTTGCAATGACAAAAAAATAGATTTATAGAAAAATTGAAATTTTCTGGAAATAAAGAAGTTAAATACTGGAAATGAAATAAAATAAAAATCAGGCAAATGATTCACCAAATTAAAAACCTGACTAGTATCTTGAATAAGATTTTTAGAAAACAAAGAAAATGATAAGAAGGCGATTATCAGAAAATTATATGGTAAAACTTTCAACAATGTATATGGGGTTCTATCTTGAAGGAATATGCTGGAGGAATGTCACAAAGATGAAAGGAGTTGACACCAGGGTATATAACTGAAAATTTTTAGAATATCATCAATAAATAGAAGAAAATAGAGACTTTTAGTGAGAAAAATACAAGACCCAATACATTAGCTCAAAAATCAAAATAAAACCTGATTTTGTAATATCCAAAGATAAATGTGACTTTAAAATTCTGAGCCATTATTTTTACTTTTAAAATTTATAATTCTTCATCCATCCAAACTATAGAGTATGAAGGTGCAAAAAAGACATTTCTTTTTTCCCCTTATTACTTTCACAGTACTTATTCAGGGGATAGAATACCTACAACTGAAGAAAAACTTATGAGAAAAAAGCAAATCAGAAGATTCAAGAAAATAGATGATGAAATAAGATAAAAAATATAAAGGAGGAATTTCCTGGGCAGTAACTGTGTGTTGCTCTTCGGATTGATCAGTCTTTAGTTGAGTTTGGAGGTGTAAAAATCTCCAGAAAGGATGTCTCAGAGGAAAGAATTAGAATAAAATTCTTGTTTAAGAATAGGAAGTATTGGTCAAACAATATAAGGACTAGCCATTCCTTTCAGTGATCAGTTTTGCATGACTGTATCTTGTAATCTGAGCAACTATTTTGAAAACAACAATATACAATATAATAACTATTGTTAATTTTCTATTATGTTTTGAAATTCTGTATCATTTTATTGTTTTTTATCTTACAAAAAAGAAAAAGAACATAAAGTATTCTGTTAAGACAGGTTTCATATTTTTGTTGTAGACCTTGGGAATGTAGTGGTAGAAATTATAGTCTTAATATGGAAAGGAAAATCATTATTCAAGGTAGGAAACATATTAAAGTTGTACAACATGACTATATATTGAGAG